ATGTAAGCTACACGGTATTCTCAGATCCCTACGAGTTGGAATCAACCCAGGTCATTGCCACAGGATGTGGCTTTCAAATCAGCTCATGCCAATACTCTGAATAGTTCAACAAGATCTGTACTACCATCTCACAAAGTATCAGCAACGAACAATGTGCAAGACCCATCTGAAATATTTATTCCACCCCATGCAAGCTATCAGTCAGCTTGCTTACAACCGAGTATACCGGATGGGTTTCAATTTGAATTCGGACAGGATCACGGACCTTTTTTTACTTTGCCTGCCGAGACTCCCACAGCTCCCCAGTCATTCAATCCGCGCCCTCCTTCCCAAAGTGATCGGGGTTTGCTTCAGCAAACCCAACTACCGTTATCATCACTCAATACGCCACATGATTCCCGTTCGACCTCACCCATGCCATTCTATTCCCAATACCATCAGCAAAATCCAGACCAGAGTGCTTCTCAAAGCCGTCAATCATCCAGGGTGTCTTCCCGCTCCGGTGATTTTCAGCATTATCAAGATCCGAGTGCTTCTCAAAGCGGTCGATCCATCCGAATGTCCATCTGCTCCCGTGATCCTCAGCAAGACCCAAGTCGAAGTGCTTCTCGATCCGGTCAATCCACCCGAATGTCCATGTGTTCCCGTGAATCCCAGCAATATGAAGATCGACGTGCTTCTCAAAGCGGTCGATCCACTAAAATGTCCGTCTGTTCTGAATTCCAGCAATATCAAGATCACAGTCCTTCCCAAAGCCGTCAATCCTCCAGGATGTCTTTTCATCCTGAAAACAATCATCAACTGAATTCTTCACCTGAAGCTAGGGCTACTTATCAACACCCACCACTACTGCTGCCTTCTAGAACTCCTACATGTAAGTTTCCTAATTACTATGGCATCCCTTATAACTGTACTGATATTGTGGAATCTCAATTCACAGCCAGAAATTCTTCACGCGTGCATTCTCAAAGAGGTAATGAACCTTCTCCTCAGGCTCCACCCCACGAACAGCCTAAAACTTCTTACGGTGCCGCTCATGATCCCAACTCCCGAGCTCACATTCTTGGTCCATCCTACGAGCGTGATCACTCAACTTACAACTCGCCAAATTACAATTTACAGTTACCCAATGAAACCTACAGATCTTTAACTTCTCCATCGGTGAGTTTGGCACCACCTCAAGCTTTCAATCTACGCCCTAATGATGGAACATCACAACCCGAGCACATCGTCTTCCAACAACAACAGACCCAGCCAGCACCCTTGACCACACTTTCTCGTACACCTCAGTCCTCTAACACCGGCAATGTTAACAATCAATCCTGGGATTCTCGTTTCCAGATTCAAAATCGAAATGACAATCAACGTATGCAACAAGCACAATCACACCACAGCAGCATTGTCAATCCAACCATTGGACATGCTACTAGCCGTGAACCGTCTTTAACTTCTCCATCAGTGAGTTTGGCACCACCTCAAGCTTTCAATCTACGCCCTAATGATGGACCATCACAACTCAAGCACATCGTCCTTCAACAACAACAGGCCCAGCCCACAAGCTTGACCACACTTTCTCGCATGCCTCAGTCGTCTATAGCCCGCAATCTAAACAATCAACCCTGGGACTCTCGTTTCCAGACTCAAAATTCAAATGACCATCAACATATGCAACAAGAACAATTCACTCAGAATCAAAATGACGATCGAAGAATTCAACAACAACAATTGACTCAAAATCAAAATGACGATCAAAGAATGCCACAAGCACAATTGACTCAAAATCAAAATTACCATCAAAGAATTCAACAAGAACAATTGAATCAAAATCAAAATGACAATCGAAGAAATCAACAAGCACAATTGACTCAAAATCAGGATGACAATCAAAGAATGCAACAAGAACAATTGACTCAAAATCGAAATGCCAATCAATGTATCCAACAAGAACAATTACATCACATGCGGATTGTCAATCCGACCATTGGACATCCTCCTGGTCATGGACCGTCTTTATCTTTTCCATCGGTGAGGTCGGTACCACCTCAATCTTTTGATCTACGCCCTAATGATGGACCATCACAACCCGAGTGCATTGCATTCCCACAACCACACCCCCATCCCACAACGTCGACATCGTCTAGGATGTCTATTGATTCGGCCGAACCTCAGCCAATCAATCTACGCCCTAATGATGGACCATCACAACTCAAGCACATCGTCCTTCAACAACAACAGGCCCAGCCCACAAGCTTGACCACACTTTCTCGCATGCCTCAGTCGTCTATAGCCCGCAATCTAAACAATCAACCCTGGGACTCTCGTTTCCAGACTCAAAATCCAAATGACCATCAACATATGCAACAAGAACAATTCACTCAGAATCAAAATGACGATCGAAGAATTCAACAACAACAATTGACTCAAAATCAAAATGACGATCAAAGAATGCCACAAGCACAATTGACTCAAAATCAAAATTACCATCAAAGAATTCAACAAGAACAATTGAATCAAAATCAAAATGACAATCGAAGAAATCAACAAGCACAATTGACTCAAAATCAGGATGATAATCAAAGAATGCAACAAGAACAATCGACTCAAAATCGAAATGCCAATCAATGTATCCAACAAGAACAATTACATCACATGCGGATTGTCAATCCGACCATTGGACATCCTCCTGGTCATGGACCGTCTTTATCTTTTCCATCGGTGAGGTCGGTACCACCTCAATCTTTTGATCTACGCCCTAATGATGGACCATCACAACCCGAGCGCATTGCATTCCCACAACCACACCCCCATCCCACAACGTCGACATCGTCTAGGATGTCTATTGATTCGGCCGAACCTCAGCCAAATCAACAACCTAGCCCACGTCAAACCATCCAATCCCAAAGGATGGAACAACATACAGGTAAGCTTCTTATCCTCTTAGACTTGTTCCCATGTTGACAGAAGCTAAGCAATCTTGTATCTCAGCCGCTCCTCCACGCCCATCCGAAGAGACAGAAGATCAACACGCGATCAACAATGAAGGACAAGCTGAGGACGAGGTACAGGAACTAGATGCAGACACGGAAGAATCCGACTCTCCTGAAGTTTTTGATCTAGTTGAGGATCGCACGTATCAAAATCGAGGAGCTGCACGCCGGGCTCGAGATACAATGGCAAGACATGATGGCACTCGTTATGAGAAGCTTGCCAAGCCTCCTGTAGAGTGCTCTCCATATGAGCGGCTCACTATCGCAATCCAGCATTACCACAACATCCTCCTAGGGATTGTTCGAAAAGGCAAAGGCCGAAAAGGACATCGATTACTCCCACCGCCACCATCCGACGATGAGTATTCCACTTGGGACAAACGGAAAATCGAGCGTCGACGCATCATCGATAAGAGCGTGGCACAAGCTCAAGCTCGTTACCGCCGAAAACATCCACAGGCTCACCCTGCTCAGCTTACTAAAGTTGGAGATCACGCTGCCGAGGACGCTCTCTCTACAATCCCGCCTGTCAAATTTACTTCCCTAGTGGCGCTCAGGAATTCAGGGGTTCATTATTCAACAACTGTTGCCTCTACTTGTGAAGGTGCATTGGCCCTTTCTGGATTCACCCGATTCACTTATGATTGGACTGATACTATCAAGTCGAGATGGAATGAAGCTGTCTCCTCCATTATTCTCCAAGAGTGGGAGAAGTGTTACAAGAGGGGTGATGCCGATGATTATGACATCGATACCAATCACGTCACGGCCAAAAATCTTAGACAAGTTCTCGACAGGTGGTTCAGTACCAAGGCTCGCGAATATGTGTCCCAATGCAATCAGGCGGCCGGTCAGGATAATGCAAACCAAGCGCAACAGCAAGAGGCTGCAAAGGAGAAAACTCGCCGAAGAGAATCACAAAAGCGGGTCAGTCCTTTCAATTATATTAATCCCCTCCTTTCTCTAGTAAGCTGATCATAGTTGAGACGCCATGCTTTCTCTAGGTTTGTAAGCTTTCGCCAAAATACTTTCCAGACATTCTTCACGCAACACCGCGGCCTCCAAGCAATCATTTCCGAGAGATCAATCCATTCTGAAGATGAAGTGGGACTCCACAGGTCACTCATTCCGAAAGCCAAAGCTTTTGGAGGCATCAAGATCTTGTCGAATTACTTTCATGAGTTGGATGCACTGGTACATCAAAGAACAGCAGGTGATCAGGCTATCACTTCCGCTCACAAAAACACTCGATCGCGGCCTTATGCTGCCGCAGAGGAAGCAGATTTCCGTGGACGACCACCGAAGGGATTTCCAAAAGCGTTACTTGACCAGCAATTTATGAATCAACACGTCTCAAGAGCTGGCCTCTTGAGCCTTGGACTCTCCTCACACCATTGTGATTTAACGCCCTTAATTGCCCATCTTAGATGGCTTCAGCTACCAGAATGCAGTTGATAAAGGAACTTCTTGGTATCAATGAAACTTGATAACCTACCTATCGTGTATTTTCTTCGTATGATGAAGGTGTCTTTTTTGTCATTAATAACCTAGCTTTTGTGTATTTTCTATGTGTGATGAAGGTGTTTTTTTCTCATTATCATCAGTATGTTTGTACCCGTTTGGAATAGATGCTGTATCAAATTCATTTGGATACAATTAGCGAGTGTTCATTTGACTGTCAAAGGGCTTTCCGCCAACATTCTCGAGCCAAGCCTAACAATGCAATAAATTTGGCTTGCTCCGTTGACGGATGCACGTCAAAGCTTTGCCTCTTCACTTAGTCTTCATCACACCTGATGACCTTCTCAAAGCTATTTCTTTACATGTGCTCTCAAGGTAACAAACGTATACATATAATACATGATAGACTTGTTGATCGTAAGTTATCATCTCCCTTACTCTTCTCTGCTACGTTGTGATTCCGGCAGGTTAGGTGTTGTCACCAGACCAAAGTCACGTTTCCAGTTTTTGTCTGGTATTACATAAGTAACCTGACTTAACATCTTTTCATCTCAAACTTCAAAAAACAAAAGCCATAAAATTACCAGCCCCAATCAAATCATTGTCACCCTCAAGTCAAAGGCGAAGACCCTAGAAGACCTCATTAGAGCAACCAAATAACCCCATTACACCTCCACTCACTTTGTCGAAACTTTTCTTTGTTCTCATCTTGGGTCAGTTTTTCTCAAATTCTTCCTCTTCATCTCAATCTCCGAGACACGCTAATTCTCAACTGGGCTGTCCACAGAATATTTCAGATCGTAAACCGTCACTGCGATTCCTTTTGTGTTATCTTTGGACATGCGTCATACGTCTCTTGCATGCATGTCCACCCTTGTACTTGGGGTTTCCTTTCATCATCAAGATGCGGAAGGGTCCATCAATCGGTACGTTGACATACCCCTTCATCATGATCCATTCAGTGTCTTACATTCATTCACGCGATTCAGGCGAGTCCTATGAGATTTTGTCATCACGGCAACCCAGGCATATCGTATTTATACTGACGTCTTCTGTTCTTTCCTTCCATCCAAACCAACACATTTGATATCTTGGTTACCTCACTTTTTCATAATTCTCTCGTTCACCCACCTTTTCTGCCACAGTTTCATACTATTAACATCATGAAGGTTGTTCGTTTCCGTAGAAGTGTTTCTTATCTCAAAAAATGCGCTACGAAGGCCAGAACTTGGCTTGGTGAGTCGTCTTCATCTTCCCTCTGTTCAATTTTTAATTTCACTCGACTTTCACTTATCGTTTTGACCTTCTTCCTCTTGGACTGTCTATTGTTCACAGCCGTGGCAGCTCGACGATTTCGCGCCATTCGCCACACCCCGGATCAATCTTTTCCGGTTGGAACTCCACCGGCCTCAGTGATTTCCTCCGACGCTCCTATGTCGGCTCCGGTTTCCCCTCACAGCTCGACTCGATCCAGGCCCATCAGCATTGACACCGCTTTGCCGATGACTCCTGAACACCTCACCAACTTTTTCACAGTTGCCTCCAACTCTCATAGCCCAACTCGCTCTAGCCTTATGAGCATCGACACCGGCCCGCTCCTGACTCCTGACGTTCTAAAAGCCGCTAGACATCACACTATAGCCCCAATTGTACACACTTCCAGTTCCCCGCCCGCCTCCCATTCACCTCCCATAACTAGTTTCACCAGCATTCCAAACATTGAAAGCTCTCAAAGTTCCATGTTTTCACCACCACGTACCGATTTGGCCAAAGAAAACCCAATTCAGCAACTCCGAGATCTCCATCGTCTTTCCCCTACACCCAGCTTCTCAAGACAGTCACGGCTTTTGACTCACGCTTCACCCAAAGATTCTGTTCCGCAGCTTGCGGCCCGATCCCCTCGACCTTACGCTTATTCCTTCCCACACGACTCTCCCGGCCCATCGTCGCCATCATCCTATGCGGCACCTACAAAACAGTCAATATTGCATTCTATGCGTGACGGGTCACAAGGTAATATATTTCTTCTCTCCGTTTGGCTTTCAGACTCTCTGTTCTAATCCGGGTTTTCTTTTAGTACAACTTTACCAGCATAATGAGTTGAACATCTCCCTACCTTTGGTCGACTTCAAGAAACGTCGCTTCTCCGTCTTATTCGATGGTGATGAACACCGTACGTATAACTTGAAACTTCAATTTCTTTTGCTGCTCAGAAGTGCATCTTTCTGATCATCGTCTCCTAGCAGTACAACCTTCCAAGCGCTACAAGATGAGCTCTCAAGTTCGTCTTTATATGGCGGATATCTTTCCCGCTCCGTCCTCCTCCAGGTATCACCATGGTTGGTTTCTAGATCAAAACAATGCCCCGGTATTTTGGGCTTCATGTCAACCGACCACACAATCGTCAACAACTGAAAATCACCCAGATAGAGACTAAATTTGGGTACCTCGGAAGCTTCGGGATTCTAGTGTTTTAAATTCTTTCATTTCACATCTCTTAACTTCATACATAAACGATTATGATAAACGGATACTTCTGACATCCATGAAAGTCTTGACCGAATTCCCACTCTACAATTACTATTATTATTACATTACGTTATCAGTAGCTTTGTTATTTTCTATCTTCCTCTCAACTGTATATAGCTTTTATCTTCATACACGTCACGTTATCATGATACATGTTTATTATTTCTCAGGCCCATTCTTTTGAAGTGAATGAGCCATGTGATCTCACCCCACTCGAATTCTTTGTCAGTTCTTGAATATCTTGAATTTTTGATTCAAGCCCCTAAGGCGCGTTCCTAGTGAGTGCGGTAAGAACGACCATCAAAGGGCACAAGATTGGTCCTGAGCAGCTCACGACTCAACTACCTGCGCCAGCGGGTTTGAGTGAGCAGACGTGCAAGTTACAAAAGTTCGGCTAACCTGCTTAGCTGAAGGTCACGCGCTTAAATCGGGCGCTTTTTAGCGAATACTCGAAAATGCTGCACTTCTGCTGGACTTTCAAGCTCACCGGGCGTCCGGCGCATTTATGGCGGACACGGTGATATGTCCTCCTACACTATGTCCGATCAAGATTAATTTAGTTTTCTCAGGATCAAGAGTATGAGAAATCATTTCAACAAATCCTTCATGAAACTCAATCTGATCATCTAATTCAGCAAACTGTTGACATCTTTTAGTATTGAAAAACAACCTTTGAAGGTTTCTAAGATACCTTTTATCTTGATTAAAATATTTTAATGAGAGTCCAAGATGTCCAACACATATAATTTGATTCGAAATTTGATTTGATTCAAGGTTTTGATATAATCTATTCAAAAACCTATCATAAAATTCACATAAACCTGGGTTTCCTGGTATTAAAAGTATCATTAATCTGGGTGGTGGGTCCGGATTGATTTCGAACTTCATGGTTTTTGAAAAAGTTGAAGACCATATGTGTAAATCACTTGGAGGGTAAATTGATGATTTCCATGAGAATGAAGTTCGAATTGGTAAAATGATTTCCGATTTATCAGTTTCTGATTCATCTTTTTTCATTTTGCCTTCAACAAGTTCTTTTCAGAGCTCTTCGAATGTATGGGAATTCAAAGAAATGTGACTTCCAATAAGTGAACTTGCGTTAGGAATTGGAATGAATACCGCTGAGATTTAGGGGATTCTGAAAAGTATCTATCATAAGCTTATCGTGCGTTAAAAGAAATGAAAGTCTGAAAACTCTGTTTTGATTCAAAGACTTGGTATTGATCCCCTCCCCATCATAGTCTCGTTTCTAAAGGAGCTCAAGAGGAGCTATATGGGAGTGAGCATCAAATGCCTTGGAAAAAGTGTGTGGATGCAAAAAAATGGATGGGATCAGGGGATAAAAAGTCTGCTAATACGCACCTCCATTAACCATCTACGCAGTCCTCGTTCATGGTACTCGAGAAGTAGTCTGTACCTTTCGATGATTATAGGTTAGCAACGTGGAGTATTCCGGTGCGCTTGTGAGCATCTAGAAATGCTCCCTAAGTGTTTATGGTATCAACAAGATCTCGACCCTCGTGCGTTGACCAAAAACGGTAAACCGCAACTTCACCGCCCTTTGATCTGACCAAACTGTCTTTGTCCAGGATGCTCAGCATTAGCCGAGGCTTTCACAGCTATTTTGATATGAGTAAACTGGATATCAATTGTCGAGAGCAGCTGGTGCCATAATGATGGTGGACAACGGATTCGAGCAACCCTTATCTAAGTGTGACATATTCTCCTGTCTGGTCTTAATTGTCCAAAGAAAGCAAAAATGGATGACATCTACAAACTTCACATTATATTGAATTACAACGATCTACTCTTAGAAAATACAATCTATCTTAATCCTTTGCATTCTTTACTATTATTGAGGTATTAGTCATCAAGAGACCTGCTCATTTAGCAATCTATTTGAAAGACGATATTCTTTTGGATTTAGGTCGTTGAAACCTTTAAGAGATTTTCAATCCATGAAGCACATTTCTCAGCCATGATTTCATTGTATTCTGTGAGATAAATGATGTACAATTGTCAATCGGGGGGCCGACGTAGAGGATAGAAC